CCGGTGCAGGCATGCCAGGAATTATATTGCACTTTTGGGTGACAAATGGAACATACTCATGAACTCTCGAAGCATGAACCTTTGAACCCTCATCCAGTCAACAAACATCTTGGCCCCCTTCTTGACATAAATGGCAATTCACCTGGCATCCACACAAACGACATGCCGGCCGCAACATCTTGCCCAATAGATCGAACAAAAGGATAGCCAGGAAGTACAAAATAATTGGCATCTGAAAAGTTCTCTACTGCTTGAAATCCAAGAGATAAATTTGAATCTCTTTGTCCACCGCCAATGTGAAAACGGATAGGCTCATGTGATGGACGAAGGAAAGGCTGAATAACCGAAGAATCAACTCGCTGTTGTGCCAAGGCCTCATGAGAAACCAAGTGACGACCAGCTCCACTGTCTGCGGCAAATTCCAAAAGACCTTGAACTGGCGAAACCATAGATGACAAGGCAGCTACAAGTGCAACTGCAGCCATAGCCTTTGGCTTAGCCGCCGGTTTGGACACTGGCTTCGCTTTGGGCTTGGTCTCTGCATGAATTAACGCTCTCTGGATTGGCCTTCTTTGAGGAGTCATGAAGGTATGCACACTTGTCACCGTGAACACACCCGTACGGCATTTGGTAGAACACACATGGTCTTCTGGAGTCATGTTTCCTTCCGATTTTCCTTTTTCTCCTTTCTGAATGTTCTTGGGAGGATCTGCTTTTGGCTTGGGAGTCGCCTTTGTAGTGGCAGCAGCGGAAAGTGCAGTTGCGGTCGATTTTGCAGGAGCGGCAGGAGCAGCCTTTGGTTGCTTTTTCCCTTTTAGGGTCAACTCAATTGCCTCAGCATTCTCCCTTTCTTCAACCAACAACTGTTGCAAACGACCCCAGAAGAACGCAAAATTCCGCTCATCGGCTTTCAAACTTGACATTTTGATGGCTTCAATTGTGCGTTCCAACTTTCGCACATTACGCAACTGATGGAACAGCCATTCACCAAGTCTGCTGGGATGGAATTCAAGGTTTTCATGGTCAAGCTCGAAAATTCCTGCGGATCTTTGATGGAATAGCCCTGCAACGTAACCTGAAAAATGCTTTGGGTAGTCAACACAGCCTCCCTGTTGCGGTCCAAATCAAAGTGTCTGGAAATCATATGCAAGATGGCACGACCTGGGTGCTTGCACTTCTAGTACAACCTTCGACATAGCCTTGGACACGACAAGAGAGCTCCGGGATGCTCTTGATGGACTTGATCAATTCACTGGCCGACCAACGGGCAAGGCCTGGAAACAAACCAGAGGAAGATTCGACTTCCTTTCACCATCAACCCGAAAGGACGGAGAGACCCACAAGGTCAGGGCTTCATTACCAGAGATGTCAAGCCTACCAAACAACAAAATGATGGTGTTTTTCCAACCAGGCTATTCGGCCGCATTGTTGGGAAGAGGGTCAATGCGAGCATTTTGCAAAGCTCGTGCATCAACAACATCCTCTGGAACATCTGGAACATTCTCACGAACAACATCCTCTGGAACATCTGGAACCTATTCAGCGTCCTCATCATCATGATCATCATCAGCACCCCCGCCCTCATCGTCCCAGTCACCTGGATCAGGAGGATCGGCTTGGCAAAGGCAATGTCCGAGGAACATGTCGAACTGGCAAACTATCGGTGAGATTTCGGCTTTCAACATGATCAACACGGCTGGAAAAGGATTGGATTGCTTCCATCATGGTGGACATGGCACCCCGCATTTCCAACGACTCATGCCTCTCTGCTGAAACACTTTGTTGCACAGCGGTGGCGCTTGACGCAGCCAAACCCACCTCAAGCGCTTGGCAATGCAGCTGAAGTCGAGAAAGTTCATAATCTTTACTTTGGGATTCATTCATCAACCGCTGGATTTCGGAGTCTTTGTGCCCTACTATCCGAGTGGCATTCTCATACTGATAAATCTGCTGTTGGGGTTGGGATTTGATAGTTTTCACTTCCGAAGACAATTGCTGCAGTGACAAATCCTTAGACTGATTCAACTGGATTTGCTCCCCAATTGACGGGTCCTTTTCCAAGCATGACTGATGAAGTTGCTGAGAAATTGACACAAGCTGTTGAATTTGTTGGCAAGCTTGGCCATAGATCTCTTTTGATAACCCTTCAAAGCACGCACGATCTTGGGCATTTGAAATTAAAACCTTGGCTTCACCAACCATCTTTGCAAAGTCAACAGGGTCAACACCAACAGCCACCGTTTGAACACGATCATCATGAAGGTGAATTTCGGGTGGACGACTACCAGGACCAGGACCATGATGGGAACTCTTTGGCAATGACTTAACAATCGATGACACCGACCTCCTCACCTGCGACGGTGTTCGACGTTTTGAATCACGGTTCCGACCTGACGAGCTGGAACTACGACTATCTGATCTTGCCTGTGAGACTGCAACTGTTCCGGCAGGAACTGAAACATCTGCTGGTTCCGAACTGATGTTCAAACTTGACATTGGACCTGAACTTGACATGACTGAAAAGGGAGTCCTCAAACAAAACACGGTTCCACACGTGATCTAAAAGGAACAACACAAGGCAGTCTGCCCACCGTGGCGCTTGAAGCAGCCAAACAAGGTGGCTGTTGAGGCACAGAAGTCCAAAAGAAATCCAAGCAATCCCTTCGCACTGAAGCGCTGACGCAGCTATGCAGTGAGCGGTGCAAGAAGATCAGTTTAAGGAAAACAAATTCGATGCAATCAGTTGCAAGAAGGTGCAAGAGCGAAATGCACTCAAATCTGAAAGGTGCAAATCCAAATTCCAATTTAATCGCGTGAAACCACCGCTGATGACGCAGTGATAGAACCAAGAAGCTTTCTGTGAAACAATCCAGCTGTGAAACAACTGCAGTGAGACACCTTAGGCTTGCGGTTGAAACTCAATAGAAGCGCTGGCTCTTGCAAAAGTGGTTCAAGGCAAATCACAATCATATTCCACAATGAGAGATGTTTGGGAAATGCCAAGCTGATGAAGTCAAGTTGATGCGATTGCCAAGGCAAAGTGCCAAAATTTTCTGAAGAACGCTCAAAGCAAAATGCCGGGAACACACATTGTCGTCTTGGGTTTATGCTCAAAGCAAAATGCCGAGACCCCGAAGACACACACAGCAAAATCCCGAAGAAATCCGGAGCACGGTACTGCCGCTGTGGCGCTGACGCAGCCTTTCAGCAGCAAGGCACTTTAGGCACTGCTGCTAGCAAAGTATTTTACAGATTTCTTTGCCGTCGACAACAGAGGCTCCGAAGAAACTGACCAGCCAACGCACTCCTGTCTCAAAAGATCTGAGCGACGAGATCTTGGTCTCAAGACTTGTCCAATCGGCAGGCTTGCCTCCGCAAACTCCTGGATCATTTCCAAATTGTCGTCGAACAAACAAAAATTCCCACTGACTGCCGCACGAATCGCAGCTAGTTTTTTCTGAGGACCTGTCCTTTCAGTTGTAATCAAAACCAGTTGCACCGGCAGACCACTTTGCTCCGTGCTGTGAATCAGGTTCTCCAAGTTGCGAGAGGACGACTCAATGTGGCTGCAAATCAAAAGATGGACTGGGCGTTCAGACAGTTGGCACAAGTGGCTTAGCTCAGTTGATGTAGCCTTGTGCCAATGAGATCCACTCAGGACGTCACCTTGAAATGCGATCGGTGTCTAGCACCTGGTGCCAGTCCAGCACGATGGCTGATCCCGGCAATCTCGCAATGTCCTCCTCAACCTTCACCAGAGAACGCTGGTCTTGCGATCTTGCTGGGGTAAGATCAGTATTACGAAATCCAAATGGTTCTGTCACGGGTGGAAGTCCAGGGAATGGGAATGCTTTGTACAGGTCCAGAAAAACGATACGGATCAACCAGAGACGATGATGCTGATGCAGGCTCAACCGAATCGTCTTCAATTGTAATCACTCGCAGTCGTGATGAGGAAGATGGAGCAGAAACAGGCTTCGCCTTAGGAACAATCGACGAAGAAGCAGATGCACTAGCCTTAGGCTTCGAAGCTGCAGTCGCCGACACAACTCTGCTTTTCCCCTGCCGTAGGGATCTGAAGAACCACAGGCTTTGGGAACCAGTCCAACAATGCGCACAGGCTGATACAACACCGCCTGAGGAACCAACTGCACCGAACTCAAATCACTGAGCGACCTCCGAAGCTCTGGATACTCCACAAGCTCGACACCGTCGTCGGAAGAATCCGCGTTCGGCTCCCAGGTCCTTGGCGTGTGAAGATGATCCGGGTCCTCACCCTCCTCCACACGATACGCCGTGCGCTTCCTCCGCACCGCCTTGCCAGAGCAGATCTCACGAGTCCGACCAGGTACTTCACCGTGTTCCCTCGCGAACTCTTCGTAAGGATCCTCTTCCATGTACAAGCTTTTAGGGAGCCTGCCAGCCACAAAAATGCATGATGAGGGGTAACCGGAACCAACCATGATAACCAATTGAAATGTTGATCCCAACAACAAACCCCAAAAAGTAATCACAAAGGACAACACCTGCACCGAGGGCAGCGGCTGCAGCCTTTTTCATCTCGAGCCAAAATAGTATAGAGGACTAAATGGGCCTTGACCGGAAAGGAAGGGTTTACTAATGACTAAGCGGGTATGGTTTACTCCACAATATTTGACTTAAAATAGAATTGTTTATGCTAATATATTAATAGGGAAAATGATGATAAACCAGATGATTTTAGGGGAACCATATGTTCAACAGATCTGGATTTTGTTCCAAAGATATGTAGGTAAGATTCTTGCCATACTTGGTGGCTCATCCCACTTAGTAAGTGGGTTATAACCCAAATTATAAGTGGATTAACCCTACTTATCCCATGTAAATCACTGGGGTTATATCTCATTTACTAACTGGGATGAGCCACCAAGTAAACATCATAAACATCCACCCTGAAATCATGTGCCAACGATCTGGATCCAGTCAGGACGACCCAAAAATCACTCCGAAAAAATCCCCGCCTGCGCCACGGCCACCGAGCAGCAGTTGCTCCTTGGCAGCGCCAGGGTTTCAATAGAATTGTATATTCAATGTTATCATATTTATAAGTTATAAGATGTTATAAGGTAATATTGATCTTGAATACCATGGGTTATACTAGTTATACTGATATTTTTTTTGTCATGGTATTGATAATGTCTAATTGTGGCATTCATGGTATCTATCATGTATATTGATGGCATGTTTCATGTATTCTATATATGTATAATAATATTGGTAAGACGAGACTGGTTACATTAATTGTTTGAACCTAGGTTAAAATCTAGGGTCTATGTTTCTTATGGATTCTTGCAACTATAGCTAGACGGGGTTGGATTGCTTCAAATTCCAGTAGACATGCAAAAACCATAGAAATCTATAGGTTTCCTGTTCGGACATGATCTACAGTACATTTAATGGGGGACTACATGTCAATACAAGAACAGGACAAATCCGATGTAAAGGGACTAAGAGATTGGTACCATGTTTTTGACGGAAGTTTCTATCATCCTCACGAAGCCAAGATATGCAAAATATACCTCAGAACAATGAGAATGCAGTGCAAAATATCTCAAATAGAATCCAGACGTTGGTTTATAGCCAACTTGGAAAATCACGCGCTTAAAGGTTGGTCTCAAAAATGCTTCACCTTTGGTGACCCAGCCCAAGTTGTTGACTGTTGAAAGCTTGCACTTTGGAATATGAAATGCCGATACCCTACGATGTGGTAAACACAACAATCCCTACTTAGAGGCTTATCATTGGGTTTACCACATTAAATCAGATATGTACGATTCGTTGCTTTCCAGACATGGACAGTTGGAGTTGGGTAGGCTGTACATCCATTTTTCAGCTCTCCACTCACAAGGCTGACTGTGGGCCATAATCCCCTGTCGCTATCATTATATAAATCCCGCTTGGGGTATTTATATTTTTGGCATTTCTTGGCTGTGCCTGAGGTGATTTGTGTTTTCTTGGAAGTGGAGAAATCGTGAGAAATCCACCATCTGGACAATCCACGGAAAAGTCTTTGGCTTTGTGGGACCCCTTTAGCACATGCAAGTGTACGACTGGTGGGGCCTTGTTTTTCTGTGAACTGCATCCTATGAACATTGACATTAACTCACCAAATCACCGCAGTTTTTAAATAATTTTCCTCATGCAAATCTCCATGTTTGAGTTCCTTCTCGGTCTGTATCAAGTTATCGCCTGCACCAAAATGATCGTATATGATCAAACATGGATGGTTTTGAACAATGTGGGGTGCACCCAAGTCATCCCACACTAGACTCCTTGAGCGTTGAAACAAGTGTGTTTAGGGTATCCCCACTTTGGGTTTGTCTGAGAATGGGGTTACCGCGATCCCCACAAAATCTGATCGTTTGTCATCATATTTCATCTGTTGAGGGGGTCATAAATGAAGTATATATTTTGTTTTATTTGGCGGACACATTCAAATCCAAATTATTCATTGGTGAAATCATCTGAAATCCCACTTCTTCATGGTTAAATCACCATGATCCCCCCCATATCCCCATGTTGCGTGGGGCCCTGAAAGCTTTGCAGACACCGAGGCACTCTACTCGCAACACGCGAGCGACGGAGCGCCTTGGAACTGAGTGAGTTATCCGCGGTGCCCCTGTTGGGAATCGCTAAGTTGGTGCAGAATTCACTGAGAAATTTCTACTTGGTGGCTCATCCCACTTAGTAAGTGGGTTATAACCCCAATTATAAGTGGATTAACCCTACAGAAATCCCATTTATAACTGGGGTTATATCTCACTTACTAAGTGGGATGAGCCACCAAGTATGGTTTATGGTAGATATATCGAACTAGTAGTCATGGGGTTAATAACTGTTTATAAACATACAAACTGGTTCATAACTGGGGTGGCACCACCTTGCACGGATTTGATAGGAAGCCTTTGCTCTTCCTCGTTGGGGTGTTTCATCTTTGGTGTCTATGCAAATACCGTAATAATAGGGATTTGGGGGTTCGATTCATATAAAATGATATAATATGTGTATATATATATATACATATAATATAATGAGACAAGTATTGACAATAGAAACTTGACTTAACTATTGAAATGGTGCCCACATTCGTCAGCAGACTTGGTGAATTTTACACCTATAAAGTAAGGTTTATGATGGTTTATGGTGATACAAATATAATGTATATATATATGTTATAAGCCAAAAAACATAACTTGCGGTCAGCGCATGTTGTAAAGTTCTCATTCTTCCTCTTCACCTGTTTCTTCTTCAACTCCGTCAGCTCCGTGCTGTAAAAAAAAAAGCTAGACATGGCTGGCGTATAAGGTAATCGCATGACGATTGCTGCATGCCAAGGCCGCTGCCCGAATCAAAGTCAGCAGGTCGAACACCCCCTTGACTGACCGGAGCAGAATGCATTCTGACTCGGCAAGTCGGATGCTCGATGAAAAGTTCCAGCAATGGATGGTGGACAACCCCCCACCCAATTGGGAAGGCCACTTTGCTATCTGGTACTCCTTCAGAGTACGAATCACCGTCACCACAGACGGGGTGACGGGGAGGGTATACGCCTTTGTCGTAATCATGTCAACACGCAGGCCCAGAAGGAAGGGGCGCATTGACAAAAGCCGCAGCCATCGCAGCCAGACCCACCCAATGCGCTGGAGTCACGATGGCTTCGCAGGCCTTAGCCAAGGTTTCTCATGACATGTGGGTATACGGTATTACGGTATATTGTCCGTTTTCAGAGACACACACGCACACTCTAGAACATAAAATGATCACCAAAGTGATCGGTCGGGAGTTGAATCCCCTCATGCAAACAACAAGACAGGATTACGTGCATGACATGCAGTAACATTAAAACCGCATGCAATGATTGCAAAAATCGGCAAGGTGGTGGTTGGGTTAGCCACATCCCCTGTCAAGAAAATAACTTGTTGGCAGGTATGTCGGGATTCTCAGCCCCGATATCACAATCTCAAACCACCGTCTTCGGGCAGTGGAGCCACCCATCCCAAAAATACTGTGCTTTGCGTTTGATGGAAAAGTGATCACTATGACTTGCCAAGCACCAACCAGTTAAACACGAGTTTCATCTAGTTTCAAGCAACTCGGTACCCCTAAATCTGGTGAATCCACTGGTAAACCAGCATTTTCATTCATATATAGTATAGAATATAGTATAATATAATATAATATAATATAATATAATTTATGTATATATATATAATATATGTATATATATTGAAAGTGCCATTTGGGAGGGAAATCCCATTTTCAGACACACCCAAATCCATGATCCGTTGGTTTAATCATATGACTCCCTAGTTTGGACTATTGCTTATTATGGTGTTTGCTCGCCTTCCAAGGATGAAGCCTATACATAGTTCAAGCGTGCGTAGAGGCAAGGGCTTGACCCCTTTTATGCTTTGAAATTCAAAGTCAAAAATAAATCCCCATGTTGGCTGGCTATACCATATTTCAAGATATGTTCAGACACGGCAACTTCATTCACCTTCCCACCGTCCACCATCCGCTTCCCACGCTGGGGCTCGGACTGGAGCATGTCGCCATCACCAGGACGCAGAAGGAAGGTGGTGGCGACCTTGTAGGTCGCTTGGTTCGGATGACCATGGGGTGCCCCGTTGTGGGTTTAGTTCAGTACGGTAATTCTGGCGTATGGACACGTCTGGTGGTGGATATATTCATAGTTACGCGGGGTTATAAACCAACTTTACTGAAACATGCATGCGTTTCTTTCGAAAATAAAGGATTTATCCATAAATGATCCGTATAAAGTCTTGATTTATCTTGTGCTATGGCCTTAAATTTGATCCATTAACTATAATGTAACTTTTCTGTGTGGTTGTTTCCAAAAGCTTCCATGGCAACTTCAGGGTGCTGAGGGTGTTTGCTAGACAGGCAACTTTGAAGCAAAATTGTTAAATGGTGAGTGGGATGCTCATATCTGTCTGAAAATAAAAACCCGAAATCAATTGGTTGATCATAAATTTCCCCACTACAATGGCCATTTATTTTGGGGGTATACCCTATATCCAACTTTCAGTTGGGACCTCAATATATTCTCTGCAAAAAATGTCCGCATGTTCCCCCAACTTCAGCCGCAGCGCGAGATCACCGGATTCTTTTGGAACACTGTTCGCTTCACCATTGTCGGTGAGATTGGGAGCTTGCTGCTCAAGACTAGGCAAGTGGTGGAGTGTCGCGGCAAGATCCGGCATACCATACCGAACATGGCCGAGTCTCTCTACCCATGCAACTGTGAAATATCTGTATCATGCTTTGATGGGCCATCGAACCTTTGTCAGTCTGGTTTGGAGAACTCTAGCAGTATACATTAATATATGTAGGGAGATATTTGGAGGCCCAGGCATGAAAAGAGCCAAAAATGAATAATTACCAAGGGTGCCTGCACAGCACGCACCGAACTAGAACAGGGGCCCTGTCCCAGACCCCCTTCTGTGCCTGATAACTGTAAGGCATTAATTAAGACCCGATGCCAGGAGAGCTATACTTCTGCTAAAAACGAAGGGGAACCTTGTCGAGCCACCACAGATCGCAAGCGTTCCTCAAGTTGTTTGCACTTGATCTTTTCCTTGTGAAGATCAAATGCAGAGAGGAGACCAGACAGCAAAGCCCGTATTCCATCCAGAGCATGCTCATCAAATAGTTTGGTCTCTTCAAACTCCAGCTTCCGAATGCGCGCCTCTGCCAAGTACATGTTTCTTTTGTGTTGTGTTCTTCTACTTGCAACCTCGAAGGGCATTGCGCAAAGCAGGTTCTCGACCCTGTTAGCATCCTGGCTTGCCTGGGAGTGCAGCAATTCGATGTGGCACAATGTCAGAGTGTTGTTGAGGTAGCCATCATACCAGCTTGCCTGACAGCAACAAGAAATGCCTCGCTCAACTTCCTTCTTGAGGCTTGTGCGCAAATCCTCCACGCTCTCGCCCAGCAAGTCCCCAACAAGAGCAGCCTTCCCCAGAGCAGCAGCGTCGGCTTTCCAACAGCCGCAAATCAACGAAACTTCCGCCGCAACCAACGGACTCATCTGCGTGTTGTCTGCAGCTTCATTCATTTCAGAAATGCATCGATACGCTTCACGGAGACCTCAGGCAAGGTCACAAGTCAAACAATGGACTCAAACAAGTATAATATAGATATAGCTTTGTGCATAGGCTAACTTGGATTTGTGGTGGATATATCTGTGTGTATTATATATATTATAGATTCTATAGCATTCCATAGTTCAATGGAACATGATGGAACTGTAAACATTTTAATAAGACAACTTGTACAGTATCTCGGACTCGGAAAGCCCTTCCTGTATATAGTTGCAAGCAGCAAAGTCAATCACATTTGCCAGCCAGCGACTGTGTTCAACATCTTCACTTCGAAGACAAGCTTTCGCTTTGTTCCGCCAGTTCGCTGCCATCCATGCAAAAACCAATGCTTTCAGTGAAGACGGGTACTCCAAGTGCTCATGGTTTTGCTTGATGTTTTCCAAGCAGGAAGTCAAATGTTGCCTAAACAGCTGTCAACCGCAAGGTCTGCAATCAACAACCGCCAAACCTACTTGTCTCACTAAGCAACATGCTTGCAGCTTCATACTGCCATCATCCTTATTATGGAGTATGTATGAATCAAGATGACAAAACAAGATCAGTTTCACCCTGAAATGTTGTGCTACATTTGGCATACAAGCTGCAAGGCCAAGTCAAAAGCTCCGACATAATAGTGTCGAAAATGCCACTGCACCTCGAAAGCCATCTCATTATCACTCACTGCCACGTCCTGTGATACCTCGACCCAAACGTCCTTGTTCTGCTTTCGCCAGGTCGCAAAAAGCCGGGCTTGGCAGGAGCTTGCATCATCCCATTGTGAACAAGCCATGAAGTCCCTTACCTCTTGAAAAACGCCGCAGGTGCATTGGTCCATCAGCAAGGCTTCCTTTCGCATCAGCGGGCGCTGGACCCGTTCCAGTAGTTCCTCCAGAACTGGACGGAAGCGCCACTGGTGCCAGGCCGATGCAGTAGGGCCTTTAGGGCTTTCTGCAGTCAGATCCATCAGGAGGCGAAGTTGAGCTTGGAGCTCCAATTTCAACAACTGCCTTTTCAGGAAGTCAAAACACCTCACCGGCACGGCTTGGATGACTCGAAGCGGATGCTTCCTGCGAGTCACAAAGCTTAACTTCCAACCCACTTTCTGCACATCCAAGCGGGCCACACTTACTGCCCTCGGATCTTGTGGGAGGACGAACAGCACAGGTGAGGGCTGCCATCGCTGTTCAATCACCCACTTGCAGATGAAGCTGGTGTCTGGCCCACAGTCTGCATCATAGTCTGCCACCGATTGGCCCACATCTGAGCAAGCGGCTTGTACCACCACATTGGGACACCGAAGCTTGGCTGCCTTGTTCACCCAAAAGCCCGAATGGCAGCAGTCCAACAAAATGAACAGCATCTTCGAGCAATCATTGCCATGCTCTGAAATCAGCCACAGGCGCATGACATCCTCAAAGCGCAGCCAACCCTCTCGAGTGCTTGCAATTGCCCCTCCAACTGGTGCTCCATGAGATGCGAGCACAAGGATGTATGCGCCCTCCACCTGCTCCTGAAAAAACCTCTCTATCATATCACAAGACTCCTGCTTCCGCAAGCTGCCGGTGAAACAGCCAGACTCTGGACTTAGAGGAATTCCAACATCTCCAAAGAAGGACCTGAGTACCTTGAAGTCATGGCTGATGCCTCTTACGTAAGCACACTCCCAAGCAAAGCCATCCGCAGCGGTTTGCGGGTTTGCAAGGATCAATGCTAAACTCATCAGTCTCCCCTAGCAGCTCTCCATTGCAAAAATGGATGTGGGAAGGATCTCGCGTGGATCAAGACTGCAGCAACATTAAGATGCCTTGTAGTTTGAAGATGTTTGAAGTGAAGGGTACCCTCCGGTAGTCAAACGTGGCCATGGACAATTACCCATTTTATAGGCGATTTTCTCATTGACACCTCCATTTATAGGGGGTTTCCAATTGCCATGTTTGATTACAGGAGGGTAGCTACTGTCCTGAAACCCGTTCTAATAGTGATCATTATCACTGCATGTTGTTGCAGTGATGGGCCCATACCACGTGCAAGCGGGTTTATCACCCCATTTAACCCGTACATTACTCTAGCTACTTGGGGGCAATTTATAACTCTACAATATACTGTGGTGTATATATTTATATATAGTATATATATATTATGTAACATAAGTGCTAGGGTCCATCACTGTACTTGTTTGTGTATATATATATATATGTATGACACAACCTGATGCAGTGATTCCCGCCATCCCTTGAGCCAAATGCTTCCGCAAGTCACACAGAAGATCATCTGGGGATGGGTCAAAACCTACTTTTTTTATTTCCATATTTGCAGAAAATGACGATCCCTTAACCAGCATTATCATTTTAGGGTACTTAGGATACCAGGGTTTTGACCCACAACCATCTCACTCAAGATGCCCTGTCCAATGCAAAAGTGTTGGTCTTCCATGGAAACAACGAAATGAGTCCTACCATTTCGTGGCACGTTCAGGCGGAACCTTCTGTGGCAGGACCCCCCCCCAAAAAAAAAAAGGTGTCTGATCGGGCGGGTCCGCCAATATGTGCGTCCAACAATCAAAAAGGCAGAAGAAAATGGCAGATTGATCCCAAAAATGGGACCAATGACCAAGCCTGCAAAAGGGACTCCTGTTAAGTTAAGCGCCAAAAACATACAACCATTCTTAGATGGGCCCTGAAATTTGGCTGTGGGCTGTTGCTGGGCTGTTGCTCATGGGGCGCATCTCACTGACAGTATGTGTGTTGTATGTCTTTGCACTTGAGTGCTGTGGCCAAACTGTGGAAACATCTCACAAGTACCAGTAGTTTGGTTTTGCACTTTTTTGCAGCGGTTTGAATGAAGGTGGAAAGCATCTCACAGGCACTTTATTCTTGCACCTGCGTGTGGAAGTTACTTTCAGCGTGAAAAGCATCTCAGGACTACACAATGTGGCTTTCACATCAGCATCACAGCCACGTTCTATGTGGAATGTCCATTCACAATATTCATCTTGAAACTGGTCTCTGCTTTGCCTAGCCCTAGAATTGGATTTTTGGTTATTGTTCGGTTATCGTTCAGGGCCACGGCCAAGAAACAGAAAATGCACGTGCTAGCGTATCAAAGAGAAAACTTTCCTTGCTGTGTATGGCTGGCTCCACATGACTACAGGCTAGCCAGGAGGAATGATTTCCACAACGGCGGTTTTGCTGAGAGCGCGAGCATTTAACTAAAGGGATCATCCAAAGCCATTTGAAAGCAGAAGGCTTCTGCTATCTTTCAATGGCAGGGTCAACAAAAAACATATCTGAGTGGAAGGTTTCGGTCCGTCGCTCCATGGAGTCAATCTACGGCATATCCTGGGTAATTCTTATTTTGTTATCGTTCAGAAGGGTCAACGAAAAGTATATCTACATAGACGGTTTCTATTGTCATTCCTTGCGCAGGGTCATTCAAAATCGAAAAAAAAATACATATCAACAGCCGCAGTTAGGTGCAGGACGGCTTCTTAACATGAATACTAAAAAAGTGGTGGGGACAGCAATGTTTCAAAAGCCTGCAAAAACGCAAACCCTGGTTTTATGGAACTCTGGTGATTTTCAGAGTCAAACTGTTAATTTACCAGAGGGTACAGAAACTAGTTAACTTAGTTAACCAATCCCATGGCCCATAGAAGGTCCCGCCTCCAAGATCTTTTCGCCCTCAAGCAGTTCTGCACCTTCCCACTGGCGATGGATCTTTCATCTAACATAGCTATCGAAAAATTATCATATTTTTTGTCAGTAAATCAACTGACAGCCATCTTCAATATCTATTTAACGAATTACCAGAGGGTATATCAACCGGTCTGTAGATGAAAGAGCCCACGCAAACGTTCTATCCATATTTTCCATCTGCAAATATATCACAGTCCTGGGCGATGTTATTCGCAAATCATATCAACGGATTGGGATTCCACATGTAAATACATACAATAGATTGGGTTAGATTTGTTAATTTGCATCTTCTACTATTGCTTATCCATGTGTTTATCTTTCCCAAATTCTATCTGATTAGACTCCCTATTCTCACAGAAGATATCACCAGTGTACAATCTCCCATCTCTCCCTCCCTCTCTCTCGACTCTCTCTCTCTCTCTATATATATATACATAGTTATCTACACGTTTTGTTTATCACAAACTTCGATGCCCTTTTCATGTGTTCTCCAATTTGTTGGAGGATCCCAGACGATTCCTCAAAAATCAACAACTGGGTTGGGTCATGAAGGGTGGCCCAAATGCCTCAAGATTTGTCTACTCTAACATATAATATAGATATCTATATATATATATATAATAATAATTCTAGAATATACAGGATGCAAGAAGAAAAAAAACTAATGATCTTGAGATGCTTTGGAGTTTATTACTTGGATCCTCTCAATTTGGGGTTTGATCATTGTCTGTGCATGCTGGGTTCACAACCAATGTGAGTCGCTGACCAACCCTATCGTATGAGGAATCAACAGAGCTACAAGCTCGTCTCATCCATTGCACTTTCATTAACTGCACATGTTTGGCCCTTGAATACACTGGCCGTGCTTGAAACCGCAAGGCAGAGTTTCTCTGGATCACTGGATGCCCATCCCTTCCGGATCACAGCCGTGGCAACGGGGCATAAATTATGTGAGAATCAGCTGCTTAGATTGGCTTAGATCAGCAATTTCATCCTGGCTCAAGATGTACTCTCTGGTAATTTAACATAGCTATTGAAAATGGCCATTTATAGTGAGTTTTCCCATTAAAAATGGTGATTTTCCATAGCTATGTTAAATTACCAGAGGGTAATCTCAGGGTATCTTAAACCAGCTTCCCCATTTTCCAGTTCGCTATTTTGACATCACCAGATGGTAAATCCCCCATCTTCATGCTGATGACTCCACGAAAAAACCACCGCTGATCACAGCCGGTGATCCCACGATTACCATAGGAACATGATCCCCCTACCCATAGGCTTTATCCTGTTCATATCCGAATTAATGATCCTATCATTGTTGGATGTGTATGTATATATATATAATTATATATATATATTACAGATATGTATATATATATACCTTATATATATATATACACATACATATCCCATCCAATCCCTTTTTTCCATGAAAATGTGCAATATTTCAGTTTTGGAAGTGGTGAAACCAGCAGTAACTCTTGAAAAAAATGTCCAAGTTGTTCGACGCTTTGAATCCATTGAAATCCCCGATTTGAGATGGTGAAATCGTGTTAAATCATGATATGCTCTCGTGACTCTGGTGAACCGTTTACAGTTTGCGAACTGGAAAATCACCACTTTTCATAACTCAACTATTTTCTATGGCCATGTTCCAGTTCGCTATTTTGACATAACCAGAGGGTAAATCCCCCATTTTCTCTCACTGATCCAATCCATTGCATCTTCGTTGCCGAGGCACGCTGTCCGGTCGCATCGGTGCTGGCCCAGCCGCAGCGGAGGCACACGAAACAGACCTCGAGTCATCTCCCGAAGGGCCCTTTATATCGAGGAGAATGGAGGTTTAAAAACCTTGGGGGATGATATATATCAATATATATCATCATTAATATCTACTAATATCTATGAATGATGAATCACTATTAATATCTATTCATCTATTAATATCTATTTAGAATAAAAATGAATAAACTATTCATGGAGATTATCATTGATGAATCACTATTAATATCTATTAATCTGGGTAAATTATCATCATTCACCAACCTGAATAGTTCAGCCATTTTGGGATGATTCCTCTCAGATGAATATCATGGGATTTTCCAACAATGATCGAAAAACTGTCAAACATCTATCAACCTTTTTGGGGGTTTTAGAGTTTATAGCTGAGACATCCCCTTTTTTGGGGGGGAGAATCATTGGAGTAATGGGTGATTTTCTAAGATGTTCCATGGGTTTGTTCAAAAATAATTTGAGAATTCAACCAAAAAATTCGGGTTGCGATGAATTTCATGGAAAGCTATGGAAAGGTGGCTTTGTTTGAAAAATAGGGGTTAACTCTGTTTTTTGTAGTATCCTATGTTGCCGTGTTTGGTGGATTTTGATGATTCCATGGGAAGCCCATCCTAAAACGGAGCTACGTTAGTACCATATCATAAGATATTATAAGGCCATATGAGGATTGGAATCTATATCCACTTATATAGCCCTAAAAAATAGGCCTTAAAAATATATGGTACATTGTTACTGTACCTCCAATAAATCGGTTCCTGTTGCATGGCCAATTTTCATGGGCAACTCGTGTCGCCATCTCCAGACTCCGATCCCAAGTATCCCAAGAAACCCAAGCGAAATGCATCCAGAAGATGTTCAGTATTCACCATCATCATTGATACCCTCTGGTAAACTAACATAACTATGGAAAATCACCATTTTTAATGGGTAAATCCACTATAAATGGACATTTTCAATAGCTATGTTAGTTTACCAGAGGGTAATGATGGTTTAATGATTATCAATATGAAAATGGGATATTCTGTATTCATCCATGATGATGGTTGATGAATCACTATTATCAATATTAAAATAGGATATTCTGTATTCATCAATGATGATGGTTGATGAATCACTGTTAATATATATTCATCTATTAATATCTATTTAGAATAAACTATTCATAGAGATGATCATTGATGAATCACTATTCACTATTAATATCTGAATCTATCTGGGTAAATTATCATCA